GACTTGTTTGTCGCTGAAAGCAACCTCAAGTCCAGGAACGAAATCTAATAGTAAAATCAGATCGCGGATGTAATGCTGCCCAATGTCAAACTCCAGTTCAGGCACAAGCAACATTTGGAGGAAACGACAATACCTCAAGGCATGAATGACGGCTGGAAGGGCGATGCCTTGAAACCCCTTGACGACGGCCCTGATATAATATATGCCGTCTTCTTGCCCCGGACCGTTGCAGGAATCGTCATTGTTGAGATTGATGACCAGAGTCTTGTTGACCTGATCTGCATCGATGTGAATAGGAGCCGGGCAATTTGTGTAAGGGCATCTGCTGCCGCGCATGCAGCGTTGCTCTGCAGGCTTATGATACCCTTTGCAGGTCAAATCGGAGCAGAATCTGCCTTTGGGGCATCTTGCGACTTTGTTGTCTTCAAGAAACACGGCTGTGGGGAGCTCAATCACGGTTGTCTTTGCAGGCCGCAACATCGGAGCAGAGAACCACAGCTCATCCTCCAGCTCAGTGGACGGCCGGGCCGAGAAACATTTTGGGGAACATTCGGCCAAGGCTGCGACGCGCTCTCTGAGGCTGCTACTGTCTGGGCTTAACCAATCCATCTTGAGCCATCAATATCGGCTGAAGCATGGTGCTGCGTTGCAAACAATCGCCAGCTCAACCGACTAGATTGGTAATGCCCACCAAGTCGACTTGTTAGCTGGGTATATGAGCAATTCTCCTCAACTTGGCAATTCTTACAACGTGCTGTAGCCACATCTGAGTTTGTCGAATCATAGAGTGCCAATCCAGTCGTTTGTACAAACACGTTTCCCTCGCTAAAATGACTACGTTGATCAATGTGGGAAGTGTTTTTTCTCATGAAAACGAAGACACCACAAATTTTGGGATGTATGCTTCTATCACATACTTTCACCGTATGAAATTTCCCCGCCGGGTATTTCGCTCACAACACCCAACAAAGAGAGAGAGAGAGAGAGAAAAAAAAAAGAAGGTGTTATCATGTGTTATCACTATTTGATGAGTACAGGTATGTTACTTTTCCATTTCATTTTTTTTGGGGGTGCTATCTGGCACCCCGCCTGCTGCAAGGCACCAGGCTTCTGGCCGTCCACAGTGCAACCCACTGCGAAGCAGGTGCCTAAGATCTCCTTGGCCGTGCCCTTGAACTCCTGGCGCTGAATGGATGGTTTTTATCCGAAAAAAGGAGGAAGAAAACATACAAAACTGAGGGTTTATGGATGTTTATGGAGATTTCATTGGGATTTATGAGGTCTTTATGTGGTCTTATGGGGTTTAATTGTCAATATGGGATTTTATGGGATTATTATAAACCATCAATCAATGGGGTTCTATGGGGTTTTACCATCCAATATGTGGATCAAAAACCGTTGAGCATAAGACCTTTCACTATCACAAAATAAGGATTTAACCGACAATTGTGGGGAACATATTAACCCAATTTACCCACAACAATTGAAATGTGCACACACACACACAATATATATATATATATATATGTATATATATAATATATATATATTGTACACATGTGATTGTTGTATGTACTGGAAATCCACCAAAAAAAGCTGGAAACATGTTTACAAGCAGACTTTTGTAGATTATAATATGTATAGCATGTTGAATCAAATAGATTGAACATGAGTGTGTTATCTTCTGACTGATTTTAGACAATTGAAGCATCCCTGGGCACTGTAGCTGTTGGCTTCACCGGATGCTTCCCTTGGCATCACCACCACTGGTGCCTTAGCCAGACTCTTTTTCCTCATCTGACGGCAAATGTCCAAAAAGACCTTAGCAGAAACCAAGTGGCAAGCTGAAACTCTCCGTGAGGCTACTGATGGGATAATCTTGGTTAAGCTGGGAGCAACATGAAGCAACAAATCATCAGAACTTGAAGGACAAAGTGTTTTGGGGGGTACACCGGCCACCTTTCCCTGAAAAAATGATAGCATGAAACCTGACACGTGCAGCACGGCGTCTTCCCCAATCTTGAACATCTCAGGACTCCAAAATCACAGGGCTGCAACATGATGTGTGTTTTTATTGGCTGGGATATGATGAATGGTTTGTTGACTGTTAACCATCAGGAACTACTTTCTGGGGGTCACCATAGTTCCCAACTTGAGGGGGGGCTGGGGGAATCCAACTGCATTCCGTCAAGTGGCATTTTTGGTGAGGTTGCCACTGTGCTTGATGTTCTTGGTCTTCTTACGGTCCTTAGCGAAGCTGTCTGCTGTCCACGCTGACCGATTGTTTTACAAAAACATAACGAGACAAGGAGACAATAAAGGGCCACTAGACATAATACCCTCTGGTAAACTAACATAGCTATGGAAAATCACCATTTTTAATGGGTAAATCCACTATAAATGGTGATTTTCCATAGCTATGTTAGTTTACCAGGGGTTAGTTTTCAAGGTTTCCTTCAACCAGCACATGTATTGGACACCTCAAACGTTCCAGGCCCCAAGCTTGGAGCCGAGGCTCGCGCAAGGGCTCCTTCAAGGCCTTGATGATGAGGCTGGTGGCATTGGGCTCCACATCCACTTTGGCTTGGCGGTTCCTGGGCTCCACCAGGCAGGCCAGGTACCATGGGGGTTGAGCCCTCGAGCTCAACCCCGGGTTTTCAGGACTTATTACACATCAACCACCATCAAGGGATTGTTAACCATCTGTCTGTTTTTGGAGCTTTGGAGTGGGGTGGTTAAATTAGATCTAAGGTTTGCAGTTGATTGCAATGGCGGATGTTAACCTGTGTTTTTATCCCTCTCTATCGCGCTACTGTGCCCAACAAGGTTACATATACTGCAAATGGGGGTGCACCACTAAGAGCAATATTGACCATTTACATTCATTTGCTGTATCCGCGGCCAACATGTTGCCATACATTGAGCACATGGGAATGGTCAATGTCCCAATGTCCCCGGGTGCAGCTAGATTTGTGGAAATCTGAGCCTTCCCCAACTCCAAGTTGATAGCTTACTACAATAAAGATAGTCCAACTGTCCAACTTTTCTACTTGTTTATTCCTTATCATATCCCCATTAATATCCCACGAGATATTCCAACCTGATCCAAGCGTCTGAATGGTCAGCTTCACTGTCACTCGAATGCCCTTCCACTGGCTGGTGCCCTTCACAATATCATCGCCCACCTATGATGTCAACGTCTGGCGGTTGGATTTTAGGGGAACAAAGTGACAGGAAGGTTCAACCTTAGTCCCCAAACAAATACGAGAAGTGATCTATCATATTTTTCCTACCAATTCCATCACCATTTTGAGTAAGACGTTACTTTACTATCTGTTTTGGGCCATGAATACGTGGACGGCGGGCTTCCTGGATGCTTTTCTGTGAACCAGTTCGAACCAGAACCAGGGATAACTACCCCAGGTAAGCTGGGGATCTGAAGAAGAAAAGGCTAACTGGGGAGTTTCACACCATTGAAGGGTCACTGCAATCATGGCGAATCTTCAACAACCTGCATTGGAGCTGGTAAAACCATGTCTATTCACATGTGTGAGAAAAGATTGAAGCAGTGAAGTGCCTATCCAGTTGGTTATGCCAGAAACATTCAAGAACTTTGAGACCCAAGATGCAACCAGCAACCATAACAAAATCAAACCAATAAGCAGTTAAACCTCGATGCATTCAGCTCATCACCGGCACCGAATGAGCCAAGCCAGGCTGACATTGTTCATGTTCAAAGTTCACTTCAGACGGAACTGGTCTTCAAATTTGGGAATCAAATTCCTTTGGTCTTTGGTCTTCAATTCTGGAAGGATTCAGCTTTGGAATCTTTGGAAGAGACTGAAGAGACCATCCAAGTTCCCAAATCCCACTTTTCCCCACCATCGCGCCCACCCTTCACTATGGCACCTTCTTGGGCGACATGCCCAGGGGTCCCACCTTCGGCGCCAGCACCGAGGAGGGCGCCTGTTCTCCGCCGTACTGCCGGAGGAAGACGACCTTCACCTCGTTGGGGTCGAACTTCGGCGCCATGGCGATGGGACCACGACGGCCTTTTCGTAGGAACGAAACGGGGACCGGGGGGAGATGGACCTGACGAAACGGCCGCAGAGATGTTGAGCTGACATGCTATGCAAAGGTGGGAGAACTGTTTGATGTTTAAGTATGTTGACTGGTTGGTGGTATACCTACCCCTCTGAAAAATATGAGTTCGTCAGTTGGGATTATACATGATTATACAATATTCCCAATATATGGAAAAATAAAACATGTTCAAAACCACCAACCAGTTTAGGTATGTTTAACCGGCCTCTTCGGTTCTTGAAAGATGAGAAACGATCCATGCATGGGAGATTTTCTTGCATTTCTATACATATGGATTCTGGAATACATACAGTTTCCATGGTGTTTCGTAGAAAAAATGTCACAGTAGAAGACATGTTGTAAGCACCCCAAAACAGGGATGGAATCGGAATGTAGAATGACATCAATTTTCATTCACGTGATATCTAATATACCATCTGGTTATGACTAACATAGCCATGGAAAATCCACCCATGTTTAATAGGTAAACCATCTATAAATGGGCCATCTATACCATGGCTATGTTAAATAACCGGAGGGTATTTCAATATTACTCAGTATACATTGTTGCTGATTACATGCTGCACCTCTACTTTCTAGTGGGATTCACATTCTTTGGTGACAAAGAACTGCTGAATATCCTCATGGTTGCGCCATCCCCAAGTTCGAGGTTTATAAAAACTGGGTATACCATGGTATACCACATTCAAGAAAGTCCAACTTAAATAGAGCTTTCCTAATAGCTGGGGGGTACCCCGCAGTTATCATGCAGTTGATTTTCAACCATCCAACCATTCATAGGTTAGATAAACCATCCATTTTTCTTTTAAGGTACCCCCCCATGACTATGGAAAGCTCCACATCTTTGATGCCACCGTTCCAACGTTGATCCCAAAACGATCCGCTAAGTGCTGTGCCCCAGGAAGATAGAAATCGGCCATCAAGCGCCGTGGATCTGCATCGTCTGCTGCAGCCTTGCGGAGAAGCGGCCGTACTTGAAACAACCTGGTCATTAAAAAGAAAACGATGGGTACATGATTAGGATTGATTAGGATTATAAATATGTATTTTTCTTTTTCCAGAATCGAGTATATGTAATATATATATATAGACACTAGTAGAAATTACAAAATATAATGAATATAACAACATGGCAACAGTATTAAGCAACAAGGGGACAAAAACAAAACACACATATACAGGTATATATATATATATATACATTATAATACACGTCGCAGAGCACTCAAACTATATATGTCTAAATTGCAAATAAGCTAATGCAATATACAATGAATTATAGATTATAGAGTCGTAGGGCATCCAAACCCTGAAAATTGGACTGGTCTGTTTTGAAACCCCTGGTGTGAGTGTCAAAGAGCAGCTAACCAGGAATGGGCCAGTTACCAACATATTCCAAAGCACCACATGAATAAGGGATAATAAGGCATACCCACGAAGGACTGCATAAACCCTCCAGTCCATTTACTCATCAACAAGTTTTTGATTCTACACCGACATGTTGAAACTGGTATGTTAAAATGTAAGTGTATTCTGTTAAACACACGGACAAAAACCCAGAGCTTGGGCACATGATAAGCCGTGATTGAATCCCAAGTTGAAATTGGACACCACCCGTGATACACCACCCGTGTCCGGTGGCGCCTTGAGATTGGACCATTTCCCCAGCTTTCGTTCAAACTCCTGGGGCATCTGATGGGAATATATATATATAATTATATATGAAAACAGTGGGAGGGTGGGAATATCAGGAATATCATAGTAGGATATGATTGGTACAACCATCAAAGGAAATACCTTGTGGAATTTTGACAATTTGCAACGGAAACTTGCCCATTTGGATCAATGATTTACCTTTTAAGTTTAATAATGATTGTCCAGTTTGCAAACTGTAAGTTTCCCAGTATTGTTTCATCATGCATCATCCAAAAACCATGAAAAACAATCAACAAGCATCATAAATCATCATAAATTCATTTAAAAAAGCATAAATTCTCCAACAGCATCATAAATCCATTAAAAACAAAAAACATCATAAATTCTCAAAACATCATCAACAATTCCATCCATAAATCTCACATCAACTCTGATTCGTTCCCCGATTCGCATCCGAACTTCGTCCTCGCGGCTCAGCATCAGGACCTATGACGACGACTTTTGCGTGAGATGTTGAGGGTTATCCAGGAGTTTTTTAACAATAAAAAAGAAACTAATGATCGTTAATGGTGATTAATGATGGTTAATAATGGTTAAGAATGGTTGATCGTGATTAATAATGCTCAATAATTGTTGATAATCGTTGATGATGGCTAATGATGATGAATGGTTGCTAATAATGCAAACACCGGATTAATAACCCCCCCCAGAAGGTCAGAAGTCTACCGTGTAGGTCCCCCCCTTAAAGCCCCCTTAATTAGATCTTAATAGAATTCCATTGGATTTGTTAAAATCTCATGGATCAGAAAGGTGGTTGATTAATCAGGGCAAACCCTGGTTATTATTAATGGGGGACATGGGCTCATGGGGGGTACCCTTTGGGAGCTATCCAGACTGATGATGTTTTTAAAGATTTTAATTAAACATCGATCATTTGGGGAATAGTTGTTTTTTGAAATTTTCAATGATCAACTTAAACCTTAAGTATAATGATGAAAAAAATGCAAAAAAAAATAATTGGAAATAAATAGAATTGGAAATAAAAATTGTTGGATAAAAAATGGATTTCAGCACTGGTGGTTTTTTAATCGGGGGTGTTTATTAATCTGGGGGGACCACCTGTTTTTAAATTGCATTTGTTTGGGGGGAGGAGGAGGTTGATTAATAAGGGGGGTTGATTAATCCTGACTTGACGTTAATGGTGAATGATTGCTAATAATATATATATATATATATCTAGGCCCAGGCATTTTCCTTCATATCTCACTAGACTAACCTGAAAACTTCGGTCAGCCTGAGGGGGATTCCATGATTCCAGGGTTCGGTTCCAGGCTTCGGTCACTGGTGGTTTCAATCCCTCTGAAAATGGGAAAACCATAGGAAAACCATAGGAAAATGGAGGGTTACCCTCTGGTAAACATACAAAAAGCTATTGCACATGACCATAGAAATAGTGGATGTACCATGATTTACCCATTGAAAATGGCTGGATCTTTCCATAGTGAAATGTAAACGTTTACCAGAGGGTACTCAGAAGAATGACTTGAATCATGGTGAATCCCAACCCCTAATATTAAACACCCACGAAATCATGGTTTAGTCGGGGAATTCCACATAATTGGGACCATACGATGGGGGTGTTAATATTGATGGGATTAATGATGGTTAACAATGGGTAATAATGAAAATAAAATCACCTTTAATGGCCATGGTTAATAATCACTGATGGTAAATAATGGTGGTTTTCAATGGCTAATAATGTTAATGAATAAATTCATTTTTACTTGTTAATCATTGTTAAGCATGGTTAATCATAAGCCCTTCAATGGTGAGTTTTCCTATACTGTACAAAAAAAGGTTTGTTCACAATCTCCAATCATCCCAGTAGTTTTCTGTTCTCCCTATTAACGCACATTATTACCTTTTGGTAAACTAACATAGCCATGGAAAATCACCATTTTTTTTATAGGTAAACCCAGGTAATCCATCTATAAATGGACCATTTTCCATGGCTATGTTAAATAACCAAAGGGTAATGATTATGAAAACCAAGGTATCTTTAATGGTTTTATTCATGCATTAGCTGGCGATGATTTCCCTCGCCTATTACATGTCCTATCCAACGGGTTGAAAGCCATGGTGGGTGGCCTATCGCTTTAGATGCTTTGGTGCACTTTCTCACTACAACCGCACGGCCCTTTACTAAAGTATATAATCCAAGTAATCATTCTGACTGTATCTCACATCAGTTCCCTTCCAACTTCCAACTTCACAGTTACTACCCTCTGGTAATTTAACGTAGCTATTGAAAATGGCCATTTAAAGTGGATTTTCCCATTAAACATGGTGATTTTCCATAGTTATGTTAGTTTACCAGAGGGTACTCATTCATGTTGGGTCATGAGCCATGTTAATCACTAGTAATTAGCCATTTATCAGCCATTGTTGGATGAATGTTGGACTATTCATGTTGTTATATCCATGGCTAGTCATATCCATTATATGATCAGCCATTATTACTGATACTAACCATGATGATAATCTGGGTAAAGGCCATAATATTTCACTAACCTGAATCTTGCGGCTATTTGGGGATGATTTCCAATACTAACCATGATTTCCAGTGAGGTCGCAGTGAGGTCGTTGTAATTTACCCAGATGATAATGATATACCCAATGATTCATAATCATCCGTTATTAGCTGTTGGATGATCAGCTATTTTAACTTCCTATCCATCCAGTTACCGCGCTCCGTCTTACCTTGACAGCATCGATGGTGGACACGGAACTTTGACGAGGTCCTCCTGAGTGGAGGGCCTGCAGCAGTGTCTGATGTCATAAAGAGTTGATTTGATCCGATTAAAACATGATTAAATCATGATGAGACTTGATTGTTTCTTATTAAAACATGTTTTTTACACACACATGCAATGTTTAAGTGTGCGATTCGGATGATACAACTTGAATTTTCAACCACGTTTCACGTGCAGTTCTGGGAGAAGATCGACTGTCCATTCTGGTCCCATCGGCATCGAACATTGGATTTTCGGGTACCCTACATGATTGGCCTCCGATTTCAACCCATCCCCAGACAAAAATTAGAGTTCGTTTGGGGACCAAACAAACGAACTAAGTTGAACATGCAATATTCATGCAATCGAAAAAAGGTGGTCTTGTTCTTCAACTATAACCATAACCCTTTCAGGTTGGTCCAGCACACAATAGAAAAATCATGAAAAATCATACTTGGATAATCTTGGATATATCAATTGGGGCACCTTAAATGACACAAACACTGCTTGTGGTATGACTGGGTCTACTACACTTGGCATTGGGTTTCAACCAACCTCCCCCGAAAAGTTACCCTCAATGACCCTCACAATAAGGGCTTATTGAAGGCTTATTTACCAGCAACCACGTTCATGACGGCTACACATAGCCATTGAAACATCTTGAACCGGTCTATTCCAGTGTCCCAATAATCCAGATACTGTACCCGTGCATTCCGATCCCTCTCATCTCGCACCTGCTCACCAAAAATCTCGCCAGCAGCGTACTGTCTGGCCTGTGGATGGGCCACTTCTCCAACATATTGTGCAGACATTGTGGGGGACCTGGTGCTCAAGTTGCGGCCCCTGGGCCGCTTTTGGGGCCTGATGTTGCGATACTTTGTGGGTATTTTAGGCCATTAAGCGCACGATTCACCGTCAGCTGCGCATATTTTTTTTGTGTAATTCATCGCAACATTGGTAGTTGTTCATGAGACACAGCCCATTTCCGGGCAATACTGCCAGCGAATATCATTTAGGATGTGCGTGTCATGTGTGCATTTGCACATGTGGAATGTACACACACACACATATATATATAGAATATAGTATATAAATATATATTTGTATGTATACCCATATGTATATGACCATATCAAAATCAATATTGTTGGTTGTTGTTGGCCTTGTGCTCCACTTTCTTTAGGGGACAACCTGGGGGATCTTGGGGGTCTGGAAGACATTTCTTGTTCGTCCTCCCTGAAAAAAACCTCTGGGGGTTTGGTTCCCAGCAAATCTGGTGATACCTCCAAAGTGATCTCAACTCATGCAACTCTGGGGAAACAATGCAGGTGAAACACCATGAACCCATAGTTTCATGACAACACGATGAACCTTCACCAAATTGCCCAATCGACCATCGCCTCTATCTCTTGTCCATCTTCCAGCCGAATGGTGGACACACAATCTCCTTCCTGGCTTTCAGAATTCTGGACCCTCTGCATCAAAGTAGATTTTGTGGAGCAATTGATAGCGGTTCCAATGGAACAAATCCTGGCAATACCTTGAAAATGCAACTAATATAATATAGCTATGTTTTTGAGCAGGATATTCTTGGATGTGTGACCGTCCTTCTGTTTTGGAAGCAACATCTCCATTTTACAAACAGCTTATATACAAACAACATCCTAAGCTTGCCTGAACCAATACCACTAGAACTTGTGTGCTTTGGGGGGCCTTCAAAAGTGAAATACGTAGATGAATGGGGACAAAGCCGCAAAACAACCCCATTGCACCAAATGACCCCTGCAAATCCAAACACCTCCACTTAGTGCTGAAAATGGTTGATTACCCCCATTGCAGTGGCCATGTGAGTGGGAAAAATGATGAGAAAAACAAGTGGATGGAATGCGGTACCATCGTTTCCGACACACCTCACCACCTTGAAATCTTCCCACCTCTAAAATGTAGAAGTGGTTGCTCTCCTCCCCTTGGGCATAGATCCTGAATGCATGATGGAGGACTCATCTTGTCCCGGTGAGATCTTGAAACAACATATGTCGATGTTGGTCTTCATATTGATGTCAAGAACAACAACAACAACAACAACAACGATGATGATTATTATTATTATTACTATTATTATCATTATTATTATAATTATATATTATTATCATGATGTTGTTGTTGTTGTTGTTGTTCTTCTTCTTCTTCTTCCGGCCAGGGGCAACTGCTCCCACCATCTTCGGAAGGTCGTTTTGTTTTACGCCAGGCGGCAATGCGTCGGATTGGTCGAACCAGCGTCGCTCCAAGGCACCCGCCAGGGTGGCGACCTCAGCTGGGGTGGCGACCAACGTGTTTTTGGGGCATAGAAAAATAGAAGTTTACCATGACAAATTGTGATTTATTGGGCGGAATTACTAAGATTTATTGAGATTTATTGAGATATATTGAGATGGATTCGGATCAATGGATTGGTTTAAAGGAAAAATCTACAGGAAACCCGCAATATTAGATGGTAAAAACATGTAACAGCCATGGTAAAAGCCATGTCTTCCTGCCGATTTTCCCTTCAACCAACCCAGTGATGCCTGTGCGTCGGTCAGGATGTCGAACTCCTTGATGTGCCGAATGAGGTTCTCCTGGGGTCGGCATCCCGTCACCCGGTGACCCTGTCGGCCATAAATCATGGTATACCATGGACCATGGTTCAGTAGGGGATCTATACACTCAGCTGTTGAATATTGGGGTGGGAGTACTCACTGTTTGGCCAGTTTATGAAGACACCCTAAGACATCCTATACATTCCATCTAGGTTTCGTTCGCAGAGTATTCATAATATATTACGGGCGAAGGGAGTACTGACATTCACATTCTTAAAAAAAAAAAGTCCAACAGCCCCCGGGAGCATATCCTGTGGCATTAGGGCTTACACTATCATGTGTCATTCCCGTAACCCCCCCAAAAAAAACCTCTGCTATTGACCGGACTTGGGGTATGCTTATGAGGTCTGTGCCAACCAACTTTGAGTTATAAGTTGCAAGAAACCAAATGAACAAAAAAGTGAAAAAAACAATTTGGAATACACTGACATGCTCTTTTGTACCTTTGGAAATCAAACACGGCAATGGGAAATACCAACTGTTCAAAGGTACTTTTGTTGAACATAACATATATGTATATATATATAGAATATGGATAGACATAGATTCCCCAAATAGTGGCTTGGCGAATGTAAACATCAAAAATAATGTCAAGCAAATCCGGGTATAGTATACATAATATGTTTATAAATATATTCTATATAATATAACCTAAGATTATATTATACTAAATTAAATCGAATTATATTATATTAGATAACATTTAAATTGTATTATATTAAATTAAACTAAAACTTTAACGTATAATTTTATATTATATTTTGCTATATTGAATTATATTATATCATATTAAAACATTATATATATATATATATATATGTGTGTGATGTATAATGTTGAAAATAGTTATAGTATAACCAAAACCTTTAAGATTCACTTGGGGTAATTGGAGGCGTCAAGCTTTCAAGCCCTTCGAGCAAGATGTGAATTATTCCAACTAAACGGGCTGGAGGCAATCACCAAAAGTACGAGTATGCCTTAAATAGTCCAAACAAGTATGTCTTATTGATTTATTATGCAATTTTCATCAATTTTCCATGTCCTTTAATGTGTTCAATGAAAAAACTCCGTTGAAGAAATGGAAAACAACTTACTGGTTCTTAGTTCGCAGGGAATGGATGGGAATCAAGGGGGTTGCTGGGATGATGACATTACTAGTGATATAATATAGATCCATATACATCTACAGTGATCACTATACCTATCTTACATCTATAGTAATAATCATTATAGTGATCCAGTAAAATCATGAAGAACATGATGCCAATCTCAGGCCTTGTGATCTCTCTCTTCGATCATGGAGACGAACTCCTCTCGACCTAAGGGGGATCGGGGTTCACAACTGGCGGTTCGTAAAGCCGCAGGAACTTGGAGCTTTAGAGCTACTAAACTGGTTGATGGTTTTAGCTCATCCCAAATATCATAAGTTTGTTGCTCAGTTGCTCATTGTTCATCAATTTCCCTTCATCCTTAATGGCAACTCTTGAAAAAAACATGAATATGAATGCACTATAGAATTATCAATGCCATCTATGGATATGCTGATACTCAACATATACCCAGAAAATACCAGAAAAAAATGGTGCCAAAAACCCGGAGACAGCAGGTCACTCGGGTCCGCGTCTTCCGAGTCTTCCGGGTCCGGGAGTCCCAAAGATTTCGATGCTGCATCGTGTGGGGTGCATCCTCCCATCCGCCCCCCCCCGGAAAAACATAGAGAGAAACAACATCCACCCTCTGGTAAACATACAAGAAACTATTGAAAATTGCCATAGACATAGTGGATTTACCCATTCAAAATGGTGATTTTCCATAGTTACGTTCGTTTACCAAGAGGGTGCAATCATTTTCCCCGAAACAACAAGATAAACATGAACTCGTCCGAAAATAACCATCGGTCACAGTGAAGGTTTTTTTTTGGGGAACTTGGGGAGATCGTTTTTTTGACGCCAATCATTGGGATTTCACCATAAATGGAGGTAATAAATTCAGGATCGGATTTCTTGCCCCACGAGTTACGCGGTTTAATTCTCAAAGCAGAAAAATTGGTCCGGCTTTGATTGAGTGATCATGGTTATGCCATCTATAAGCTTTGCCACAAATTATGTTTATCATAATTAGGGAATTAACTATCAAACACCATTTTGACAATAGATGGCTGGTATAAACCAGCCAAAAATTAGGGGATAAACGGGATAAACCCATTTCAATGGGAATGTCGGGACCCTAAAATGCAGCCACTGTACCATATAAAGCCATATAACTTGCAGGCATATCCCTCAAATTTCGCCCTGAAGAATGGGCCTTATGGTAGCTACCTCCAATTTACCTGAAATGACCATGTTGATAAACCATTCCCAGTCATGGTAGTTCGGTTTATGACATTGTTTTACCCACATGAAATGATTATTCAATGATTAGTTATCAATATTAAGCATTGTTATGTAGTTATTGCTTTTATATTGTGAGTGAACTTTAACACATATTCATCTATTATCATGATTAATATTAACCATAATAATCATGTGATGGTTAGTGATGGTTAGTGGTGATTAGTGATCAATAGTAACCATAATAATAATATATAATAATCATGTTATCATATTATCATAGAGTCATAAACCATTAACATCCATTAGCCATAATTAGGTTAGTAAATATCTAATTGAAATATGGTTAATGGATAATCATGGTTAATCACGGTTAATCATTCACTAACCAGTAACTATTCAGAAAAAAAATCATAAACTCTACTTGAAATCCTGAGTTGCTTGGGCCCGGTGCCCTGCTGCCCCAGTGGCTGAGCTTCAACAGCTTCACATCGCTGCGCGCCGTGACGGTCGCAGCTCGCCCTTCCTGCCTGTGGGCGATGCACTGAGGCCGGTGTCATTGGAAACAAAGAAATTTCATGCGATTTCATAGGTTTCAATAGGATTCCAATGGATTTACTATGGGTTTCAATAGGAATTCACGGGTTTTAATAGGATTTCATGGGATTTAATATGGGATTTATGGTGATTTCATGAGATTGAATTTTGTGATGGATAGCCTCCAGTATTCAAACATAGCTACATGGAAATCATCATGTTTAGAGGCGAATCATCGATCCCCATCCTTGGAATTGATCATTCCGTTCCCATATCTTGCGGCAAAGTGGTCAACTTTGGGGATATTCCTTGGATTTCTTCTGGTCAATGGCAATTTCAGGAACCGATTCATTGGAGGTACCTACCATATATAAGGCCTATATAAGGCCTATGTAATGGAATATCCCCACAAAATCTGGTCTTATATGGTACAGTACCTCCATTTTAGGATCCTGAAATTTCCATTGATCTGGGGGGAAATCTGTTTCGGAAACTTCTACAATTGGTGGCTGTAACAACCATGCGTTTCCTGTAGGGGTTCGGTTGCATCAGTCCATTGATTAAGACATGGTCAAAGAGTAAATACTCACCCCCTGCATCCAAAGTAATGAGACTCATCCGTGGCCATCATAGTGTCTAAAGTATCAATAACGAATATCTCTCAAAACCTCATGATGGATATATCATGATATATCATGATATATCATTCATTAAGTATATCTCTAACAAGATCTAACCGACTCATATCAATACAAACCCTCATGAACTGGACAACTTACCGTCCGGCCTCAATAAGGCGCGTTCGCCGAAAAAGCCGCCGGGCTCGTACTTCAGCACCTCCTTCCACTCGCCATTGATCTCGGCCGGGGTTGGGTTGATTGAATCCCTATGATTTGGGCCAGGTTGAAGATAGAGGCTTATTGAATAACATATACATATACATATCTCTCTCTATACATTATATATTATATATTATATATATGTATACACATGGGAAACCAATAAATGATAAATAAGAAAATTGATATATCAATCATAACCATGCATACTATATAATTATATATATATAAATATATATGTCCCAAAAGCGAGTCTTGGTGGTTTGCCATGCGAAGCATTGTGCGCTGTTGTAGGGTAGTCTTTGGTGATTTGTCTGAGTGATTTTTCCAAACAACTTGTCATTTGGATATATATATATATATACATACATATACACACCATTTACGATGATGCTACTAATTGCAATGCTACGACGTTGTCTTCGCATTCTTGTAGCCTGAAGCAACTAGCTGTTAGCCGCAGTTTACAGTTTACAGATTTGTAACCCATCCAAACATCTGGGAGAATCTGGCAAAACTTGAAGTTGCATTGTGATCCTTGTGTAATCAAACCATCCAACTATACAAATCATGGATCAACCAGAACTGCTTCCCTTGTAGCAGCACCAAGGCGCAGGAATTGAGGCATAACACTCGCCACTATCCACGATGAAGCAGTCCAAGCCCTCTTCACCTGGAGCTGGCAGAAAAAAGGTGGGGAATAACTTGGGGAAAAAGTGGGGCTGATCTCCACTAGGAGAGTAAAGGATGTTGTTTTAACTCACTATTTTTTGCAGATTTCTTCATCTGGAGTCTTGAAGGATGTTACTCTCCAGGTTTTTTCTGTAACAGTTTGGGCACTGGTCGTGGAAGTTAGAGTTTGCGAACCACAGATAGCCACAGTCCACTGAGTCAGAACTGGGATTTAACGGAGCCAAAAATCTCCAGAGAGTATCCTGGTTTTTATGATTTCAAGAGCCACAAAAAATACTCCCCAACCTCACCCAAAGACCAGCGCGTAAATTTTTGAAGCGCCTCGCCGAATGATTTCCTCCCCAGCCTCAGAGGTCCCAAAGTTCTGCAAAGATGTGATATGTGATATGTGTATATGCATAAATGATCACTGCTTGGTGGTTTGAACCCCTCTGAAAAATATGAGTTCGTCAGTTGGGATGATGAAATTCCCAATATATGGCAAAAATGTTCCAAACCACCAACCAGTGATCATATATATATATATATATGTGTGTATTGTTTCATGGGCTATTCGGGCTTGCCCCAAGATATAGGGGTATTTCTGTAAGATCTTTGTTTCAAAGTGCTAGCATCAATTTTGGAGTTCCGACGCTACCATGGGCGAAACAACGGCTCTTTGTTGATCGTGGGATTGATTCATCTTTTCCCTAGCCCGTGGCAAGGGATTCTTCATGGGTGCTTTTAAACACTTTGCAAGACAGAAGCAACCATCAATTCCAGCAGCTCAACGACTTTGCATCATGTTGAATATGTGTTCCTCTATTGATGGAAAAGGATTCTTGATGTAAGCAACATTCGAATGGAAGAATGTGACGAGACAAGCCAGGACAATTAAAATAAGGCACAGTACTGACGAAGCGTAGCAAAAAGTGCCAGAGAAAACCGGGCATACCATTTTTTAGAACTTGAGATTGACGAAGATTCATCCCAAGTAGGGGTATAGACAGTATATACATAAGTATACAGTATACAAAAATCACGCACCAGAAATTTGGGATAGAAATGGCTGCAGATCCCACAGAATCATCCATGACAATGGCCTTTTCCTGAGACCCCGGAAGATGTTCGCACCGTCATAAAACACAAATTGGGGACGGTTTCATGATAGTCATCCCATATAGCCACTTTCCAAAAAAATGCCGGAGAGTCGGAAACCTGGAAAGAATGTAGAAAACATCATCACACCATCTTTCTTTTGGGGTGGTCAGTATAATGAATTACGACAGTTCTCACACACATATTCCATCATTATCACAAAATTATCTCAGGACTTCCCAGTGTCCTACAGTTTCCAATTTCAATCCCACAATTATCTCACATGATCTTATTCTCTGATATCATCCAATACTTACACTATATCATTGCCATTAGGGATCCTACATTCATAAGGGTTGCTCCCAACAACCGCCAAAAGAAAGAGGAGGAAAACGGCTAAGTGAGGTAAATTACAATTTGTTCGCCAGTCATAATTGATGTAATGGCTTGGAACAACCCTTTTCATAAGGGGAGAAATCACAACTTTGGGGTTTGGTGCCTGCCACAAAAAAGAAAAATCCATGCCGAGTCACAGCATATGAGGTCTGCCTCAGATTTCAGCATATTTCAGCGTGATTTTCACGGACGAAGAATGAAAGGGTGGTTCTCCTTCAGTTAAGGGGGATTAAATATACACCCCCCCAGTCCCTGCAAGATATAAAACATGAGTCATAGAATTTAGAGCGAATCCAAGGTTGCAAATGCTCACGGCGCCTGGAGAATTTGAAACTTTGAACGCAGCCTAGAGTGCCTTGCAAGATGTTGGCACTTTCTTCTCTCATCAGGGAGATATCATTCTTCATTCTCCTTTCGTCACCAAACCATAACCCATCCCATTCCACCAACGACATTACTGAGCCAACCCGTCTTCCCTGTCAAGTGATGCACGGTGGTGCCCCAAAACGTTTTCTAAATTAATTAGTTTATAAGTAGGTTATAATTATTGGATTTATGGTAGATATGTTCATAAGCTTGGATTTATGGCCTTTCTCTCTCTCTCTCTCTCTCTCTCTCCCTCCATCGCCATCTGGTCAAGGAATTTTGGTAGATCTAGCATTATCTAGCTATCTAACGTAGACCAAACGTAACTTAGTTAACACAAACCATGTTCTTGAATCCCCATGTTTGCAGCTGAAATCACCATTTCACCAAGAGAAAAACTGGCTGCCGAGACGCTCGAGAACTTTGGCGCACTCCTCGATTTCCAGTTCGCCCTGGCGGGCAGCAGGTGGCTCAAGGTGTCATATCTACTGTAATTATGAGATAGTATTGGATATTACATCATATTTAAAAAATATGACTGTATCCATAATATATCTCATACTGGATTTAATATCCATCAATATCTATTGTATTGGATAATTATGAGAAATTGATGGATATTAAATCATAGTCATCTCTCTCTCTCTATCGCCATCTCAGAGATTTCGTGATGGATATTAATGTGGGATAATGATACGATAATTGTGTGATCATATACTTATGGGATAACATCATTTTGGGAAGCCCAAAATGAAGCATTTCTGCTTTATCTACTTTTTAGTTACTGGATATACTCAATACAAAAAAAAAAAAACGCCAAGTACCGGGATAAGAATGGGCTGTGGTAAATATGGTAATGGCTATCCCATAATCACTAGTAGCAAATAGTAAATGATAATGGGATAATGATGGATTAAATGTAGTCAAACCATCCCCGAACAAAGGTTCATTCTTGAGCTTATACCTCTATAGATCTAGTGAGACAATTACTGATTAGTCCACTATATCGTACTAACTATAAATATGAATTCAATAATAGTCACCATCCCCAATATAGGTTTCTGACATGTGGTATATCCTTAGTAGTGAGACGACGTAAAATGACCACCTTTCATAGTTGGTTACTGGGGTGGTTTGTGGAATTGGGTTACAACAATAAACAAATTCTTTGCAAGGATCTCTAATCAGTTAGGCACCTGAGCCTCCCCTCTACTCTGAAAACTCAAAAATGTGTTGTTTTCTTCACGGAAAAGGATGTAGAAGCAGTGTTTCGAGAGCTCAAGTTTCGGCTGGTGATCAAAACCGCGTGATCTTAAAATAAGATGAACTAGCATGCAGTTGGTCGGTGGTTCTCCTTACATGCCACTATCATATCTGACAAGGATCTTGTTAAGATTGTTGTAACTGAAACTTACCTAAATCCAGATTACAAACACTTATGTGCCCACACACATTTCCATAATGTCTATAAATCATGGTACATCTACAAATATAAATAAATCAAATCAAATACTTATATACTACCGTTGCAGACCATACAGCGAATTGCCACTGGAAGTTGAAAGTCATAGTTTTTCTACGTAGGGTTGCAATTCCAGTGCAATTCCAGTGCAATTCCAGTACAATTCAGCAGTGTTCAAAGCCCGTCGTTTCATTATACCGCTTGGTTCATAGGGATTTTCCTATTGGGTTCATATGATCCTCAATGTTGGTTAGTATCATACTAACGTGGCAATACCAATATTGAGGGGTAATACCTGTTATGTTGGGGTAATCAATATTGATGGTTAACCAATACTGAGGGTTATTACCTGTTGGGGTATCTCAATAATCATAGTCCTCAAAATACCCCAGCAGGTGGCAATTACCCCAATGTTCAGCATTCACGTGAAACCTCCAGTCCTATCCTGCTGCAAGCACTTCTTTTTGATCGAGTTGGGCGACGTCTCTTTTGGACGAGTCGCATCCCATTTTTTTGTGTTTGGCAAAGTGGTGGTGGAAACACTTCAGTTGGCGGCCAATCTAGAGTTTGGACAGTTTGGACAGTTTGGCAGTTTGGACAGTTTGGACAGTTTGGACTTCAATCATTCAACGTTCCGGAAACAAGTGACTTGTTGCCATCGGAAAACTCGTTGATGGCCTGGTTATTAAGTCCCCTAAGGAGGTTCTCCCATTTATCACTGGGCTAGAAGCCCGTTTACTAATTTTGCTAACAATTTGCGGGTCATGGGAGGATCCTCCAAATCGGCAGGTCTCAAATCGTCTCTTGCGTTTCCACGTTCCAATTGCCCAGAGGCACTGGCTTCTCTACACGGCAGGTAAAACCGTCTACGGGAAGCTCTCCAGTCCTCCAGTACCTCTGCTGGGATGGGTGCCACGAACAACCGCCTAGCTCCAGTTCACCCACCTATCAAACAGGAGGGCACCTACGATGGTTACTAACCCCTTTCTCGCAATATTGAATACCACACGGAAACCTAGACTAGCATTGGATGTTTGCGTTTTGGGGGAAAGCTATGGAGGGTATTTATCAACCCGCGGTACAACATGGAGTTTAGATGATGATCCTCCTACTACATGATCAACAACTTGCTAAGTGATAATTTCCACCAAATTACCCCATGTGTTTGGATATATGGATCTGGCAGAATTCAAATCACTCACCAACCCAGAAAGTTACACCACTTTAAATAGTATTCACCACCGTTTCGAGTGACATCGGCAAGTCAATTTTCCCAAATGGGATTGTCTCAAAGAAAGGTCTCTACCCCGAAAATTGATGGTATATACAATGGTTTTCTCCATTTACAGGGTTGCTCCGAACACCCAGATACAAGCCGGTGGAAAATTACCTTCGAGGCTATAATTTACCTCTACTGCAATGGAGCAATCCAAACAATATTTCCCGTTGTGTGTTTATGTTCACCCATGTTCACCCCATTAACTAGTTTCCCGACATGATTCCCCATGATATATTCCCATTATACCACCATTACATCCCATATTTCACCACCATGTTTTTTTATAACTAAAAAACATGACTAGTTTCGCGGTATAGCCTTCAGTAAACAAAGGTAGCCATGGAAATTCATGGGTTTCCCGTCAGAAATGTGATCCACCGCCCTCGGCTTTTCAAGCCTCGCCAATAGATCCAGGCAGGGTTTCATGCCGCTGCCAGGGTAGTCACCACCTGCGACGGCCAGTGGGCAGGTTGAAGTTAAAGGGAGGACCAAAATGAGTGGAACAAGTTGGGGTTGGGTAAGGGGCTCAATTGGGATTTACACAAAAATGGATGGTTTAACGTGGTTTCGGCAATTATTGTGAATAAAATGAACAATGATAAACAAACAATATCCCATAGGATCCATGGTGCTGGTATATATGCCAACATTTACCATCAATATACCCCAAATGTTAGCATATATACCAGCACCATGGATGGTACAGTAGTTAGCTCCTCCCCAGCTAACATAGACCCGTTAGTTGATTCATAGGATTTGGACATACCAATCTTAGAGATCCTGATCTTCAAGGTGGGCACTCCGGTGGGCACTCCTAGTTTATGTTGGCCCCTAAGCATTGACATCCCTCAATTATACTTATATATAATGTAAATATATGTAAATAATTAGTATTTAAAATACGTTTAAAACATATAGATATCAAATAATATCTATATATAGTTGTAATACAATATCTATATATTATATTAAATTATATCCATACAATATCTATATATGTACCGTAAATCCTAGCTGAACTACTTATCAACCGACCTAACTACGGCACCACCTTTCAGCTAGACCTGGATCTTCATGGGAATGGGAAGGCTCCTTTCCTTTTCAAATGGATGATTCTGAGGGACCCTATATATATATATTATATATATACCATCTGCCTATTTAACATAGCGATAGAAAATCACCATTTTTAATAGGTAAACCATCTATAAATGGGCCATTTTCCATGGCTACGTTAAATAACCAGAGGGTACAGTAAATCTAAATATAGTTGGAGGAGCGGTAAAGGAATTGTTGGCCAGCCAGTTCCAACAGCCTGAGAACCAAGATGATGGATCTAAGGACTTTTGAGGTTGCCTGTTTTAACAACACATCTCAGGCGGTCTGAAACATCTTGGCATACCTTGAAAGATTGGGGAAGGATGAACCTTTTAGTGTGCGCCGTGTCTGGAGGGGTTTTCTCGCCCTTTTCAGACACCGAAACAACATGTTGCTGATCATATCCGATATCCTATTAATAATCATCCCGGTATTTCCCATATTATGTATTCCTTTTCCCATTGTATATTTCCAATATTTCCCATATTTCCCAATACTTCCCATATTTTCCAATATACACCATATGTCCCATTGGTGTTGTTCTATGTTCTATCCGTCAACATTTGAGGAGAAGCCCAGCCTTGGCTGAGGCAATGCCCCACGCCCTGCCAAACGATCATCACGCTGTCCGGTAGGGACTCGCGCATGTGATTGCTCCAGGTGTAACCTCGGTCATCACTGGGTCATCATCTGGACATCAAGTGGCTTGGATTCTCCTATCCCAAAATGTTGCCCTTTTGACACCCCACAAAGAACATCAAAGTGCTCTCTCTGTGATATTTTGTTGTTCAACGTGCTAGTTGCACTCACACGCCAACACGCCTTTGTATGTATCTATGTATGTATGTATATATATATATATATATCTTATATATATATATATATGTGTGTGTGTGTTTGCGTGCTTCTTTCAATGTGAAAAACATGTACAATGTATATATATATATAATCATGTAATAGCATAGCAATATATATATATATATATATTGCTATACTAGTACTATATATATTATATAGTGATGTTGTTTAGTGGACCCTATTCTTGAAAACAGAATCACTCCACAATGCCTATAGCAGGTTCCCAAAGCCTAGCTACTTTAATGGTCGACTCTCCACACCCCAAAATTGAAAGGCGGCAGCAATCGCTGCTTGTTGGGTCCAATTTTTACCATTGATTTGGTTCCAAACTTGGTTCCAACACCCAAGTTTAAACCCTTGAGTCCCTTCCAACAAAGCTGTTTTGGGCAGTAGCTGTCAGCCAATAGATGTTTGATGGTTCTCCGTGTTTCTGTCGATCTTTAGTCATTTTGTCATTCAAATTCCATTTTCAGTCGGGAAAAAAACACCTTAAGACCTTAAGAATATGAACCAGGCCTGGTTAAATACAACTTTTTTGGTTGGTTCAATTGGTATTTCGCACAACGCCATTTTTACGGCATCTTGTTCGTTTTATCCGACCCCATCCCCAGAATGGTGGACAATATCCCAATCTACTGGGGGTGCACCCTGTTAGTAACTGGCTCAAGAAAAATCATATGTTGCTCGAGTATCTCCTATATTATTATCATACAACTTAGCAAAATTTGCTGAAAGCATAATCCAGTTATTTTAGGCTATTTCATGATATGGTTCTTACCCACTTAGTGGGATGCACATCCAAGTATGGTTCTTCCACCATCCCCATCCCCCTAAGAATCTCCCCATGATATCTCCATGTGTTTCGATGTCCATAGGCCCTGAGCCCAGACACTGCAGGCGGGATCGTACAAGTTGCCCACCACCAAGGCTTTGAGACCTGCGCGGTAACCCACCTGCACGGGCACCGCATCCAGCTGCCACGCGAAGAACGAGCTAAAGATTCCCAGGAAGGCACCTGGCTGGAGGTGCAGGGTGGGAGAAACGAGTTAGGTCTGTGGGTTTAAACATTTATGTAGTTGGATAATGTTGGATATATCTATCATATATCTATAAAGTTGGATATAAAGCTGGATATATCTATCATATATCTATAAATCCAATGATTAACCTATTATTTCAATCAGCTAATTCACCTTGTATGGAGTTGCTATTGGTGAATGGCCCAGGATCTCGGAAACCGCTGCGTGCAAGGCCTTTCTTGGAACACAACTCATGGCTGATGAAAACCACATGAATCTGAGAAGCATCAACATAGAAAACCCCATGGTATCATAGAATGATAGTGAATCATACCAATGTGGGATTCACCCAATGCCATAAATACCATAAATGCCATAAACAACTACCAAGACTGGGGATGGTTGAGGTCCAACGTCACGGGATGACTCGGGGGGATGATTTATGATATTTATGGCACTGAATCCCACATGAATCATCACTCATCATCATTAACCACGAGGTGAAATAACTAGCTTCACATTGAATACTCGGATTTTTATATGGATTTATGACTTATAGTCACTTGCAATACATGAGTATCATGATGTGTTTTTTTTAACAAAATCAAACTTATAGTAGATATCTCATGATATATCATGAATGATATATATATATAGTGATCATTAGTGATCTATAGTTTGATGGGGTTTCATAAACCAACATCTATGGCCGCGGCGAGCTGACTCGCACCGCCATCCAAGGCGCTGATCGCCATTTCGTCCCACTTTTGCCGGTAGCCCGTCCTGGGAGGAGCCGAAGGAAACCACGGCGATCGAAGGACACCACGGCGATCAGTTTCCAGATGAAACAAAGGTGATTTATTATGATTTATTGGGATTTCATGAAACATCATGGACACCTTTCTAAGGGAGAAATGATTGAGATTTACTGGGATGGGATTGGTTTATGTAAGGGAAACATCTTCACCGGAAACCCATTGCTTTTCTCCATAAAATATCGGCTTTTCCGGTAAACGTTACCAACCCAATGATCCAAACTCGGAGAAACTCCGAAAATCCACTATCATCCACTACCATTCTATGCATGTTATGAGAATGTCTCTCCTGATGTTGAGGACCAGCGTTGCATGTGTAGATGATGTTCCCACTAATGAATTTCCATTAGGCCGTGCGGGGATACACTGCCGGAAGAGTGTTCACGGGACCTGCCAAAGTAGGTTCCTGTGCAGCGGTGAGAACTTCCATCGAATCCACCAAGCAAATAGCATATCTCTCCATGGCTAACCGTGTTGCTTCTTGCTCTCATGTACACATTACACACGAAAAATAAAAACAACATTAAAAACAATATATCCACATGCTTATGCTTGTTGAGAAAAAACAACTATGATGGCTGGTACATCATGGCATCCAAAATCACCATATGATGGTTGACATATTTGTGCTGGTAAACTCCAATCCATGCTACTAACGTCTCTTTTGTTGTCCAAACAATTGTCATTTTTGTTTTCTTGGCTGAATTTCTGAATAGTTAAATCATGTTAAATTCACAGTTTCATACATTTTCCCTACTAAAGTCCAAAGTAAAGTAACCAGAATTCACATGGTGAGCTGACCCTCGTTGCTGCTAGGCTCCAAATATCCATGGCCTGGTTCACCGTAAAACGACCAAAGAGATCCTACCCCAGCACCGTGGCTTCGTTGATGAAGCCGTTCACCCCTTTACCTGGCGAAGCTATGAAGACCCCGTTTGGGTTTGGCCAACAAAAATTGATGGAATTCAGAGGATTTCACATGATTCCCAAGAAAACAATAATATAAAGATATATATATATAAAGTAAGTAGTTGAGCAGGAAAAAACGGAGCTTGAGATGTGAATGTGGGATTGAACATTGACAATTTGAACGAAACCACGATTAGGAAAGATTAGGACGCCGAGGCACTGAAGGGTGCGATGCCCAAGCCCTCCTGAGCACGGGAAAACATGGCAAAACGACACAAATATTATGGGAGGCGACGGATGTTGTCAAACCATCCCGGACTATGACGGGATGAACTCAGGAACAAATCAACATTATAATATCGCTATGAGTCAAACCCCTGCCCGCCTCGGCATACTCAGACAGGATGTTAATGGATGTTTATCCCTCCAAATATGGTAACAGGTATTGACCCATCCCCATCTGGCGAAACAAACGCCAGAAGAAAATCATGCGCATGATTTTCCATGATTTTCCACCACGTCATCCAAAAACACAAAATGTAATCCACAGCATCTTTCCCATGAATTCCAAGCCAGCTTCCAAGTGCTTGCTGTGGTAGCTGCTGGACAAGCCTACGGATTGCTGCCCCACACAAGTACCGTAGAGGGACCAGGTTTTCACACCGCTCCAGGCTTCTTTTCCAGGACTGGAGGGCAAAACGCAGTATCCTCAGATTTGGGGGCCGGCACAAGGTGGTGAAACGTCATGTTTGTTGGTTTAATACCCATTCTCATTATAGTCGCAATATAACCACCATAAGCCCCGTAGTTATTTAAATTATAAGTCAACTTAGAAAACTGTGGGGCACCATGTTTGGTGGATTAAGCAATGGGAGAGGAACGAATAATCTTCAGCAAATCCAGGAATATAGGTCAAAATCCTGTGATCACATCCAAACAGGTTCTACTTAGTGGTGGAGGTCCATTTCAAACAAAAACGTTGACGTCGACTGATCCTTAATGGCTATGATTGCCAAAAGGTTGCCCCATGATTAGCTGAGTTGGTTTGTAAACACCAATTAGTACAGTTTCTCATTAATCTACTTATTTCAACCAACTTAGCTGATGTTTTGGGAGCACCTCCCATTATCCCTATAACCATCATGATAATCAATCAGCAGGGGTATCCTGATCATCCCAGTAATCATCTCAATAATACGTTTGATATACAAGTCCATGTAAGACGGTTATATCATGTTATATCTATATCCCATGATAATATCCCTCTAAAACTCACATGATATTCCAACAAGGGTCGATCCAAAATGGCCTTGACCTGTTGCGTTTTGGCCTCCGCCCCCCGGAAGCCCGCCAAATTTGCGATGGTCAGCACCGGCTGGGCCCAGCCGGTGGGGACAAAGCCGGCGGAGATCATCTGCTCCTGGAGGTAGCCCTGCAACAGGCCGATGCTCAAGGGGAAGGTCACCTGAAAAGGCAGGTAGGTTGCGAGAGGAGTCAACAAAAACCCATCATTATTGTCATATATATATATATACTTGGATGTATGATGATGTATGTACTTACTGTACTATTGTAACTATGTCATTATTCTCATCGTTAGTAGCAGCAGCAGTAGCTCGATGGAAGCCTCTATGAGTCAAGCAAGGTGCAACAAATTTAAGTGCTTAGCTGGACAGTTGAATTGTCATCTGATGAAGAATTATCGCCAGGAAATGTGAAACATTGTAAAACCGTGCCTTATTTGGAAGCAACTTGTTCTACAAAAAGTTGGATGGCACGTCAGCGTATCGGGAACAAATGACCGAAGGCATCTAAGTCAACTAGGGGGAGTGTCCTAGTTAAGAAAGGATAGAGGCTTTCATGTCCCTGCTGAAAGCCGCAGCCGTTTTAACCCAGCAATCTACCTTTCGGAAATATGTGTTAATACATAATTTGTGTACAGTGTAATGTATAGACTGGATTAGCATGGTCAGCTAGGAGCCTTGTTGCAAGCCTTAAATGGGCATCCCGCAGGGATCTGCCCCACCGGGATGTCCGGCCCAGGGGCTTTGGCACCATTGGAACCCAGAATTTCCGTGGGTGCGGTGAGTCTGCCTTTCCGCAACTCGTCCAGCAGGCTCTCCCAAACCTTGCCGCCATCATGCCCAATTCACCACAAGTTCCTGCACCATCTATTATCATGGCAAGTATGATGGTGGTTGTATTAACAGTTATTAACTGCCTCCTCATCATCATCATCATCATCATCACTTCTCACTTCTCACTTGTTACAAGGGTTCATTTCGGAACTCCCATCCCTACATCCCAGGCGCATGGTTCAGGGTCTTCTGATCCTGGAACCAGTTGCAGGGCGGTGTGGCCGTCCATTGGATACACAGCATCTCCAGATGCGCAAAGGTCATGGTGAGCGCCATCCCTTGACCCTCCGCAAAGTCCAAGGTGAAGGGATTCGGCGGCATGTTGCCTGGGACACATGGGAGATTCGGTGGGGTTAGGGAATGACAAATCTGAAAAACATGTGAATTTCTCGGAATTTCTTGGGAATCATGGCTGCCATAGTTTACGGGACATTTAGATGGGTGTGTGATGGAAACTTCGATGGTGCCCTCACCTTCAGCATTTCGGTTTGGTACAAGGGTCAAGGGCCTGATCAGCTCAAAACTTGGAAACTATTATATAATTAACAGCAATGTCAACCCCGGATTAATAAGCCATGGTTGATTAGAGGGGTATTCCCGTAGTCATGATTTGATATTTTTTTATGGTACCTTCCCAATTAAACAGCCGTTTTGGGGTTTATGAATCCAGGGTTGACATTACAACTTACCAGCCAAACCTCTTCCATCATTTCACTTTTCATTTGAACAGGCCCAAACCTCCTAGAGTTCTTTGTTTCCTACTCAATCGCGTGACAACCGCTATACACAGAAGTGGGGCTCGCCCAAACGCAAGTCGGTGTATCACCTCATCTAACTATATAGATATATTCCATTCTATTCCCCGCCAAACCTATGGAACCTTTTTCCTTTCGCCAACTTAGATCCATTCAGTTTAGCCTCCAGGCTGTCAGCGCCAAGCTGCCGTTGATTACCATCTTCCCCACCCGTTGGTGGAACATGTTGCCATAGGTGGCCGCCACCGCCGTGCCATATGACGCGCCTGTGCAGGAAAGGGCCCCCTGCAAGGCTTGAAGCGTGTGAACTTTGATGTATACATATACAGTCATGTATATGTACGTGTATACTGGTGTGCGTATCTGTGTGTGTGCCACTTTTATGGTGTTTTGTGTGTTTCCCGAAAACTATTCTCAGTACCTTTTGGTCACTATAAATGTATCTCTCTCTCTATATATATATGATATCTGATATCTGATATATAATATGTGTATATATATATATACGTGTGTGATGGGCTATAAAATGGGTTGTATAATACTGACTTCGCAATCTTCGCAGATTGGCAAAATTGAACCATACATGGAATATCCCAAAGTATGTGGGCTCTATATGGGTTTCAAAATAAGCTTTACAAATCACCTAATAACTATCTAACAAAGATGCACATCCACGTACTATGATCTTTTCACAAGTGCAACACATTGGGTTGCACAGGGCTTGTGAAGGCAAGGATTGGCTCGCTTTGCAGCTGTATTGCTCCTTCGCATTCCAATGGACACATGCCCAAAAGGTGACCCCCGAGTTATAAGTTGATTTTATCATCCTTCCTAATTATATAATTCTACCATGAATCCAATTTGCTTGCACTAGCCATGGGGCACCACTGTGCTGTTCTAGCCAGAACGCCATTCAAGTGCATCTTGTGAGCGCAAACCCGTGTGCGGAAGAACTCGATGTCGTGCGCCAACATGCGCGTACCTTCCGAGAAAAAGTCAGCGACCGTGACCAAGGACCCTCGCGGTGGTTCAATGTGGTACCCTCCAGTGATGAAACGTGGCTAGCTGGAAAATCCATGGCTACTCCGCCAGAAAAATATGGGTAAGGTACCATATTCTAGGAGTGCAAAGTCCCACGTTAAATTACATCATATACGTCCATATAATTTGCCAGTTCGTCCAAGTTTGCTCCGAACATACCTCCCAGCCATCCTCCTAGCGTCAGCATCCCATCAGCCCATGGCAGTGCCCTGTGCACCTGAAAACTCCAAGAAGTTGAAGCTCTTGTTCCGCGGCCCCGTCAAGATCCACTTGGGCGAGGCCGCGCATCTCCTCACGGCGCAACGACGATATGCATCCGGGAGGCTGTTGAGCCTTCATGAAAAGAACACATGGAGAATCCATGTGGGAATCCCTGGGAAGTGATCTATAGTCTATAAATCATGGATTTTGCTCTTGAGGTTTGATATCTAAGGGGAAATTATGTGAAATTAGTGTTGCCAGAACAAACATATATAAGGTTTTTGAGTTTTTGACCAGCAGAATTCAAGGGATAAATATGAGATATATATTGAGATATTATGTAAGTAACAAATGATAGGGAACCTGTAGATTCACCACTCTGGTAAGCAATCATGACCTGCAGCTTTCCCAATCAAAACCGAAAACATCACTTCGATGTCTATCCAATCTTCCCCCCATCCAATGCGTCAATGGATGGGTCAAGAGAGAGACACACGGGGACGTTAGGGTTTTCCACAAGATTTAGGGGTCAAAAATGATGAAATCTGCAATTTTCCTTCTGAAGTCTGGGAACCCCATTCTTACTTGCACGTCTCCGATCCCCACTCTCATCCCTCGACGATTCTCAGCATCCTCATCATCCAAACCTACAGTATGACATGTCAAAACCAAAAAGAACACTCAACTCCAACATACCTCGAAGATATTCGAAGATCATCTGGGCTCAAGCCATAGCCATAGCCATGCTCTCCTGGACCTCAGAGTCATCTTGCTGAGATGGTTCTCCACCTCGGAGCCGTTGAGTGGATCGATGGCCACAAAGGATTGGCCCACCAGCGCTGTCCCATCTGGCAGAGCGCAGGGGCAATCCGTGAAATCCGAGATCCTCGGGGCCCACGGGGTCCCAGGCTGAAGACCAGGCGACCACCAGGTGACCACCATTGGAAACAGCACAAGTTATCACTGGGAATTCCAGGATCCTAAATTGGAGGTACTGTATCTTTTATAGGCCTTATGTATGGTAGGTACCTCCAATTTAGCTTCCTGAAATGGCCATTGAAGTTAGGTTAGTTGTGGACATTTAAATTCCATGGCCCAGCTACAAGAAGACCACCTTTGTTGGATTTCATGAAGTGGAAGGGAAGCATTCCAGCTGGGATTGGAACTCTTATTTTCGCTCAACATTGGGTGGTCAACAGCGAGTCACTGGCTTGGGATGCTCCTGGCTATCCTGGATACCACCAATCCAGCTGATGATTGAGCCAACAGGTACCCATAGATATGAAAGTCAATTGGGATCATCAGCTCACCTGAGATTGAAAGAAAAACATTCATGACACCGCCAACTGCTCGACTCTATCTTTGATCGTCTAACCTGGTTATTGAGCAACGAGATTCACCACACGTTTATGTACTATATATATAAAACCAACCCATTCAAGTGATTATTATGAATTCCCACCATTCCCAAAACTTTCCGATAGTGTATTCAATTGACTCAATTCACTAGCTATTATACTATTAAATCAACAAGTTCCCTCAAAAACATCCAAGGTTATTTCACTTAGAAAGCATAATAATTCCTGATAATTTTATCTCAATTTCTCCAGTCTCCTGACTTTCCAAAGCTCTGGTAGTTTTCCCAAGGTCACCAGTCACCAAAACATCTTAAAAATCACTCCACTAGTCATAAAATCATATTGATCCATGTTAAACCAAACTAGTTCCTTCAAAGTGCACAATTCAAGCCCTTTACCAATTACAAGTCAGGAAGTCACCTCATTTACGGAATGATAACCCCATCTACAACCAAGAAATAACTGGCTTCAGGGCCTTAACTGCAAGGCGCAGTCTCCAAGGTCACTAGCCATGAAACCAACCAATTTCCTGAAAAATCCCAGATGACTTCACTTAAAAACCACAACTTTTCCAAGACTCCGGTAGTTTTTCCGATTTTTCTCCGGCAGTTTCATGTGCTTCGCCTCACACTCGAAGCTGGGCGACGCCGCAAAGCCAATGCCACGCTGAGAGATGGACCAGGAAGCGTAGCCGCTGTACTGCGGCTCCTTGCCTGGCCATCAAAGGTTGGGGAAATAACGGGGGAATTTATTCCATGTGTACATTACTGGTTGGTGGTTTCAACCCCCCTGAAAGATAGGGAATTTAATGGGATTTAATGTGTTTTCATTGGGATTTCATGGGATATATCATGGTTACCCTCTGGTAAACTAACATAGCTATGGAAAATGGCCCATTTATAGATGGTTTGTGATTTTCTATAGTTATGTTAGTTTACAAGAGGGTGTATATATATATATATAAAGATACCATGCAACCTCCAAGATATGCATATGTTCAGTCCCCGAGTGCATTTTAGGACTTTCAAATCTTATAAGTGTTCAATAGGACATGTGATTTGGGATCAAGTTCAGTGGAACAATCATTTTCATTGGGGATAAAATTGGTGTGAGTAATCCCAAGCAGGCACATGTCCCAAAACTGCCAGGAATGTTGATCTATATAATTTATGCCAAATTATGGATATAGTACAATATAGTCTAGTAAATACACAAATGTTTTCGATATGTTGCATCCACTGCATTACAGTGCACACAAAAAGAAATGCAATTTGACCTCTTACAGAGTCTTTATATGTTGGGTTGGTCGAGAATTGGGGAAACGCCCACAAAACTGTCATGTGGGTACACTTTGGGTTAGTCCAAATATGCCCAAACCCCGAAATTTATGGCCATTTTATAAGGCAACACAGGGTTCAAACATCCTTATTCCCTCAAAATTGTTTGTCTTCCTCCCACTTTCCTCCAAACATCCCCAAATTCTTGGCTTGTTGGCAAATCCCCCCAAAAAAATGCATAGAATTTGCCATTCAAAGTCCAACTTCCCAACTTCATCTTGAAGGATGCCCTGGCCGGCCCTATTCTGCCCCACGGCCGGCGCCGTTGCCCCCGCCTTGATGCAAAACACAGGAGGCATCGCTGCCAGGTCCTCCGCAGTGGATCAGAAGTGGCTCCAACGTCGAAGCCTTGCCGAATAGAACTGAGAATGACATCATGCTAACAATAATTAGCTTTACTAACAATAATCATGGTCATGATAATAATAATAATAATACTATTTTGTTTTAAATAATGCATACATATATATACATATATATGTGTGTGTGTGTTTAAAAATACTATATATATATATATCAATTAGATATGTTTTGTTTCCCCCTTTTCACTGAAGGTTTGGTTTTTCTTTTGAGGCCTCTGATGTTTGTTGCTTGTCAGATTTGGAGATTTGGATATGGATCAAGACCCATGGACCCCCCTGGTGAACAGGTTTGATTCATCCCCGTTGGAGTTGTGTTTCTTTCGTCTTGTCCAAACATTGACAAATGGGGTCACCAGGGTGTGTTGCAAGTGGCTTTGTTGCTCTCAAAAAAACACCAATGGAACCACCAATCCGGACACTTTCCTAGATATACAGTATAGGATTATTATGTTTGGTGGGAAATGGTGGGAATGATCATCTTGAGGCATACCCACTTCAAGTACCTGGTCAACAACCATGCCTGCAATTGTTATAAGGGGGCTATCAAATAATCAAAGGGATGCAATTTGCATAACTGGAAAGCAGCTACGAGCAGGTCATCTGATGATCAGTCCCAACCTGAAGGCCTGGACACATGGCACCAAATGCTTGGAGGGATGATGGGATGATGGGATTGATTTGTTCCCATCCGCACCTCAATCAACTTCCGAAAAAGACCTGACCTGTGAGAGGTATGTCTGAATGCGACACGTCTGATGGCTCGCACTGAAAAAAATGTGCATGTACATCGATATATTTGCACCCCACTTGTCTTGAACAACACCTGCAAATAAAGGCGGAACCTCCGGCTTCAGGTTTTCTCTTTGAATAGCACCTGGTGGTAGTCCATCCTATCCATTCTACTTCGTAAGCGAGTCCCACACCTGCTGATAAATGGGGTAAAGGCTAGCCTACTTGTGACTCTATGGATTTGTTCTATCGGGTGCCTAAAAATTTCAGGGTCGCGAATATCACGCTTCCCGTGAACAATTGCCATATCACGCTTCCCATGAACAATTGCCAATTATGCAATTTTCGGGGGCCGAAATCCCAATCCCCTTCTTTGGCTCAGACACATCTTCCACACTGTTGTGAATCATCATCATGACCATCAGATCGATAAAGGGCGTCTCATGCACATCTTCTTCATGCGGGCTCAAAGGCACTGTGAGGTTGCCCACATAGACCTTTTTAGGATTTGATCGCGGTATTGGTGGATGAAGGTTCAACATGGTTCAGGGGGTTTGGGACTTATGGGGAGAACACATGACAGACCTTCAAAAGAATATCAAACAATCAGTGATTGGAACCATCAACACATTGGAATCTCCTTGATACCTTGGATATCTGTTCCTGAAACCACGCAACTGGAAAACCATGGGAAGGGACGACCCGAGTGCCTCTTTTGACGGAATGACATACTATTGTCACTATTGTCACTACACTCATGTACCTACTAAGTCTATACCTGAGAGAGGGAGGAGGAGGGAGAGAGAGAGAGAGAGAGGGAGAGAGAGTCATCAAGGAAACAACCAACATGTTGAGACACTGCCACACCATGCCAATGGCTGGCATTCAAAGCGCCGGACTTTACAAAAACCACGGTGCTCATGGACTTTCCCATATCCAATGAGGCCCTTGCGTTGACACGCCAATCTAGACAGGTTGTCACAGAAATAGTGGCTGCAGTCCGCATTTTCGTTGTGGATCATTGCGGGTCTACATACACATACTGTAGGTATCAAACATCTGCCTACATACCTGTCCCATATAGACCATATAACTTGAGTAGAACATGGTAGAACCCCAAAATACTTGGCCCGTTTCTGGGGCCAAAGCGGTGAGCCTCCAAATACGGTCAACCCAGGATCAATAAGCCACCAGTTTACAAATAAGGGGGGTACCAAGTTTACCACGATTAGTAAACTATGATTTTCTAAGTGTAACAATGGTACCTCATAGTTTTTGCTCCAGCAATGATTTTCTACGTTTTTCTCTGTCATATTACATTAATCACCGTTTTTTCGGGGTAAACTGCCGGATCCTTGGTCAGGTCAACAGAGTTGAATACTCCGGGCTGAACCATATCTGAATGGATGTTTGTTGAAGGGAAAATCTGAAGGAAACCCATGGTTATTTACTTTGACCCTCAAACCCTGCAAATGTTCCCCTTCAAAAGTAATGAAAAACCTGGCGCTCCAATGATCATCTAATCAAAACCTTGGGACATCTTGGGACCCTAAGAACTAAGATACCTGGTTGATTCGATGCTTAATTCCCTACCCTCAGATAGCTGGTTGATGTTGAATTCCCAGCCAGTCATCTGGTGCTAACTTGGCCCATCCGCCGCCGTGGCGCTGTTACCTTGCCTATCTTCTTGGTGTGGCTCCACCTCAGACCCTTCTTGGGATGAAGCACATCGCAGCGCCTCGGCCACGGCAATTGGGCCCCCAGTCGATAACGTTCAGTTGCCTGAAAAAAGTGGCTGATTTCTATGGTTTATGGTAGATGTAACTATAGTTTCATGGGGTGTGTAAACCAACTTATAACTGGGGAAATTGACACATAATTGACCAAATACTGGGATGTCACTGGTTTAAGCAACAACACTTTGGATTTTGAACTATCAAGCAAGCATCGGGATTTAAGTGGCACAAATGGGGAACTGGACAAGCCGTCCCAAATCGAACATTTCAATGGGCCAAATCGGTATTCATCCGGTTTTCATGGGACATTTCCCATTGTTAGATCTTGAAGATATGGTGAAACATCAGCTGCTAAAGGAGATTTTCCGAGAATTCTTCAGAAGGGGTGATCATTTTTCAGAGGTCCAGATACTCAAAAGACATAACATACAATTCACTTTCTATTGATTCAATCCAATCCAATCTACACTGCAAATTTCCATCCCAACCAAAGTGTGCCAAATCCAACCGTTATCTATCTATTCTATATATATATATATCATTCTATATCTACCAGTGGAACCAAGAACCTATGAAATCGTAGGGTCATTAGATTTTAGCTTCGCTAGGTATCTTAACGCCATCCCATGTTGCAGGTCCCAGCTTGGCTTCCAGGCTGTGACCCGCTCTCCAGCAAGGTCTGCAGCGAACTCAGCTCATCGCAGCTCGACGCGGACGAAGTTCCGGACGCGAAGAAGCCGAAGCCGAGGCCGGCTGCGGCCAGCAGGCGGAAACACCTGGGCTGCAGGTGGGTACGGCTTATACTTACAGTTATGGCCATGTATCAGTTGTAAGTACTTATAACCGATTATAACCCCATTTACAGAATGTATAATCCCATTTATAACCAGTTATAACTGGTAAATGGCCATAACTGTAAGTAGGTTCCTTGCATCAGCACTACTTAACATGATTTTCGGTCTATCTATCATCACTACTTAAAATCCCACATTCGTGGCCAGTTTGATGAGAACCTTTGGATGATTGATGACCAGTAAAGCATGGTGACGACCTGGCATTCAACCGATTGCAAAGCATAAGTCCATCAGTGATCATCAGCCCGGGCCGGGATAAAACCCACGCAACATATTTTGAAAAACAGGAACCAGTACACTGTACACCCTCTGAACTGTCAATTCCAGCCATGCCTAGCCCGCCTCGGCAAAGCATTCAGCATCAGTCAGCCGCCAGCTGCTTTCCCCCACTTCAAATGGCTGCGCGGAAGCAGTGGGGTCCCTGAAGGCCTACAGAAACCCAACATCACAAACTAAAGCTGCAAGCCGATGACGAGAACATACTCAAAAAATTGGGCCAAAAATGAGTAATTGGCACGAACAAATCCAGCCCCGCAATCCAGTGCTCACTCATGCAAGGATCATCCCTTCCAAGGCAAAGTTGAGACACGAATCTATTTGGAGGATCACCAAATAACAGGTGAAAACAAGTCCCCGCGTTCATGGGCTAAATTTGCGCTATGAACAAAGTGAAGGGTCACTCAAGAGGATCCTCCTGTGCGCAGCGTCCCTTTTTTGAGCCACAGCGAAACATCAGAGGTCTTCAATGGTCATCATCAAGACCCAAGAAGTGGCTGAAACGGCAATCCTGTCCATTTTGGCACTTCCCCAGCGAGTAGAACTTGCACAAGATGCCTGGGAGGCAATCTCAAAGCTGAAACCGATAAAATCTGGTCTTTGAGGCCCCAAACCATGTGATAAAAACGAAGAATAGTCCATAAGATGCAATCGTTTTGGTAGACAGGGGCTTGTCGCTGAGAACAACATGGCAAAAGAATGCAAAAAAATCAAACTGATTCACAAAAACCACCCAGATACTGTCACTCTTCTGTGGCAATCTCAACTCGTGAGGACCGTGAGCATAGGTGCAGTCAGCACCAAACGGGCACTCCCCATGCTGCCAGTGCCAGCACAGCACCGTACGAAACTTGGGATCTTGCGACAAAGAGCTGCGACCGAGGGTGGCTCGAGCGGTAGGGCCACATCCGGTGTGCAACCGAAAGGAGAGATCGAGGTACTCACCAGTGCTGGACACAAAAGGAAGGGTCCTAGTCAACAAATACATCAGACCCTCCATCTTCAAGTCATCTGGGGCCTGAAAGGTAAACGAAGCTCCACATGTTTCACTTTGCCAGAAATCTTGGAAGGCTAGCTCTATGTCATAGTAACTTCTAATCATCTTGGAAATCTGCACGAAATCATCCTGGGACAGTGACGGCAACGCACCGGAAGCACCGCAAACGTCCATCGCCACAGAGGTCTCTGGGAGCACAGTGCAACTGCACATCCCGACAAGACCATTTTTCAATGGAGGAAGCAGGTCGCACCAGGCCATCTGCAAAAAACTGCCTCTGGCTGGTGGTTTCGACATGTTTCGACTTGTTTCAACGCTCTGGAAGTTCCTTGGAGAACATAAACACCAAAAACATAAAAGGACCGGATAACCCCACAAGTCAACTTCTTCCAGTAAACAGAAACAAAAGTTGAAGCAGGACGGAGAAGGAAGGAAAGACAAAGGAGGTGGTGGAGGATCGTATGTGAAGAGTTGTGTGTGATAAAGCTGTGTGTGTGAAAGATGTGTGTGACAAAATCATGTGTGTGAAAAATTGTGTGTGTGACCAAGTTGTGTGTGTCAATGATTGTCTGTGACAAACTAGCCTCCCACTTGACGCAGCCTGAGCACATTGCACATTGCTTAGTACTCGCCTCTTCCCGCAACCGCACCCCCGGCCAACGAGGTGACAAACGACATCACGTCGGTCTGCTCGGTGCAGGAGATGCGCCACCATGCCAGCCCAGTGTCATAAGTGCCACGCATGCCACGCAAATGCTACGTCCACGTCGCCAAGTGCCACACCTGCCACGCAAATGCTACGTCCATGTCGCCGAGTGCCACCCCTGCCACGCAAAGTGTGCGACAAAGCTGTGTGTGAAAGATGGCGTGTGACAAAGTTGTGTGTGAAATATGGTGTGTGTGTGACAAAGTTGTGCGTGAAAGATCGTGTGTGACCAAGTTGTTTGTAAAAGATGGTGTGTGACAAAGAGGTGTGTGACAAAGTTGTGTGCGAAAAATGGTGTGTGTGACAAAGAGGTGTGTGAGAAAGTTGTGTGTAAAAGATAGTGTGACAAAGAGGTGTGCGAAAGATGGTGTGTGACAAAGTTGTGTGTGAAAGATGGTGTGTGACAAAGTTGTGTGTGTGTGTCAGGGAGGCGGCGGAGAGGGAGGAGGACGAGGAGGAGGAGGAGCGGGATACAGAATCAAAAACAAGAACCCCACACAAAGATGTGGGGAACTATGGGTTGGTCAAGTGAGATCATCATTCCATTTGCTGAATGAAGAACCAAACATGTCGGAAGCCATCGGCCTCTTTTATTGGCGATAACTATACCTATCATAAGCACACTATCTAAAAATGTTTGGTAACCCTGGCGTTTGTTGGTAAAATCCCCGTTTGTCTTGCAATGTTTTTTTGCCTCCTTGAAAGCATCAACCAGGCCTATCCGTCGTCCTCCTTCCATGTCCCTCACCTGAAAACACCAGTCGCACCAGTCACTTTCAGTCTCAGTGAGACCTTCTTCTTCAAACAGTTTCAGGTCCAAACGAAGGCTGAATCTGAAAGTTTGGGCCCACTCCAACATGTCGGTCCGACCTTGGTCGAGGATAGCACTCAACAAAGACTCTGCAATGGGGTTTGAAAGACAAACTACTGCTTCCTCTAAATACTGGTGAACCGTAGTACTTAGGGTCTATGTTAGTTGGGAGGTGGTAGATTGCGTTTATCCTTCCAATATCCAATTTTTTTTTTCAGCTGCATGGCTATAATGTCAACCCAGGACTGATAAACCACCAGCCCACTTATAAGGGGGTACCCCATCTGGGGTTGATATTACTATCCCAAGCATATCATCTTCTTATTCTCAGAGGCGACCTTTTTGGCCTGGTGTGCGGGGGCTTAACCCCAACAAGAATCATCGGTCATTTACCATAGCTATGGAGAATCACAACAATTAAGAGCTGAATCATCTATGGATGGCTCATGAATTCCGAAAATTCCATAGCTATGTGAAATGACCGGATGGTAATCCCCATCCAGCGACTGGCAAAAGCATTGGTCCTAAGATCTACTTTGGCCATGGGCCGTCCCAGCGCCACTGTTCTGCTGGAATCCTCTTGAGCCGACTTTGGCCGCGGAGACT